TAGATACATAGATAGATAGATACATAGATAGATAGACAGATAGACGCACCAGGCAAGGCAGCTGTTGTGCTCCTGTCGACAAGGCCTTCAGAGTTAATCCAACAAGAGATGGGTCTGAGGTCTTGAGGTATAAAGACCATAGATCCTTCTAACTATCCAAATTATCCAGATATGAGTAGCTGAGACTTCCTCAAGGGTCCTACTGAGATGATTAAAGTTTCATCCTCTGAACGGTCCTGAATATACCTATCCAGAATCCACAGTGAGACCCAATCACTTGGCTGTCATTTGTAACCTTGGCAGCTTGTTCACACCCGCCCGTCTACGGGGGCTTGAGCCATTCGGCTGTAAAATCCAAACTTTTCAGGAGGTCAAGGGTTTATTTGGGTCTGTGAGGATAAAAAAACTGCTGACAGGCTACCTTCTGGACCATAAAAAGCTCCTTCATGTTAAGTGTCTGCATTTCTCCCTTGACCTGCATCAACACAGAAAAATAAAAAGTGAGAAATACCAGTGGACGTGGGTTACTGAATAAAACATTTATTTTCAAAGCCTGTTACAGGCTTTGTCAGAGAGAAATTATGATGATCTATGGGGGACATCTGATAGTTAATCAACGTCCAATATCCTTTTGTTTAAAAACCTCTAATGTAAAATTCTACCCTTTTCAGTTAAATGGTCTTGACTCAGAAACACAAAAAAGCAATGGGAGCTGTCATGCGTCATGATCAGGTGCGGATGGCATTTAAAATGAGCAACCGAAATAAAGATTAATAGTTATTCTGAGTGCAATGCATCAAATGAAAGTGACAAAGTATGGAGGGGGAACTAAACTGTTTATTATGCACAGGAGCCAGTGGAAAGTGACTGATGGACAATTTACAGAGGAACAGGTGGTGAGCCAGAATTATTTTTCCACAGTCTTTTCAGTGTCATCGTATTGATGAGATGAAGCCCCAGGTTACACATGTTGTTTTAAGGAAAACCGCAACATGTAGATTGTAATAAGAGCATCTATATCCAGGGAAACAATTAGACTCACTCACTTGAAAAACAGCTTTTCTTTTTCATTTGTATCTGTTTCTTTGTATATTTAACACATAGAAACAGAAGATGTAAAGCAGTTATGTAGCTTATGCATATGACTAACAGCTGGGTCTCAATTCATGCAGCATTTCAAAAGTCCTGCACTCGCACTCATAAATCTGAACAAAGGCCAGGTGACTCTTGAATGCTTTGGTGACAACACTCGACTGTCAACTTTCCTATGAAAACGCGTCTCGACTATGATAAATGCAGACAGACGACATTAACACAAACGTTCTCATTTGATTGTGGGTTTGATGGCAAACATGCATTATTCCCAGAATGTCTGACTGTTCCTTTAAGTCAACCATGGAAAGTTTGCCAAAGCACATGTATAAATGGAAGATGACCTGCCATTTAATCATAAGCCTGGGACCTTTTTTTATCGGTGTTAATGCATCAAATGTATTCACCATTAGTTTATTGGTTGAGGGGATAAAAAGGGAGATTTTTTTTATCCTGGATCTGATGACAGTGACATATTGGGTCGTTTTATTCACACGACCTCTGAAAAGTTCAGAAAATGTGTGTAAATGATGAATCATATGAATGTGGCATTGAGGAAGGTGACCCTGCATCATTTCAGTCAGACATGACGTAGTTTACTGTACAGTAGGGTGGTCATGCGTGAGGGAAGACCACATGCAGCTGACTCTCCTGAGTCTTTGGCCTTCTCACATGCCAGAGAGCCTGTGTGCCGCCCGATGACACACTAGCCCGCCTGCAGCTGTCTCTGGAGACATCCTGCCAATCACATGTCATAACAATAAGGTGTGTAAGCGATCCTTGACCTTAACACATCACCCCCCTCACAGTGCGAGAAGATATACTATGGAATGTGTCTGAGGTGATAGCATTGGAACGCTGATTGGGTATTTGGGTTGCAAGGTAAGGTTTTGGTGATTTTTAATAGAAAAAGGAAGGGTTGAGGAAGCAGAGAAAGGGAGGAGGCTTTGATTTAAGTCTATAGCACAGCTGAAAAAACATTTGACCTAGACATTCCGTGGCCAGGTAGTTTGCAATGTTTCAAATGGTCATTAGTTATTATCTTTTAAATATTATTATTACTACACTTTATCAGCATTCAGTCAGTAAGGTCTCAGTCATGTGTAGCAAGGTTTTGTATAAATTCAGTTGCAGCATTGGACCACCTTGACTGAAAGCCTCACACTATGAACTGCACATATTGAAAAGTAGGGTAAGTGCTGACTAAGATAAAGTCAGCGTTTGAGTACTAAAAATAGCTTCCTTGATGTAACCTCACATTTAAAGTGGTTGGAGAAGCAGACAAAAGCTCTCCTGCGCTGCCAATGCAAAAACTCAGTCTAGGTTAGTCAGAAATATCATGTATCATCATCCCATATGAATTCCTCCCTCTTGTTGCTATGGAATATTAAATGTTTTTAGTTATCATGTTTTCCGTGCGTCTTCCTTTAAAATGAGCTTGAGTAAGTTGTCCTCAGTCGCGTTAAATATGATCGTATATGACCTTTAAACGCGGTAGAGATGTCACATGTTTTAAGCAGTTGTAAAATAAAAGTGCTGCAGCTGACACAAAAACCAGTTGAGAGGAAAGTGATATAGAGGTTTTGAAATGGACTGCAGGAAGAGGACCCCGAACACATTAATGCTAACAGCTGTCAGGCTTAACTTGGTGATACTTTTGAGCTGGTATGAGGTGGATATTTTAGGGGGTTGGAGTAAAGGGAAGACAGAATCTCAAAAAAGATTTGTAGATATTTGGAGCTTCATCAAAAATTCATCAAAAAAAAAAAGCATAAGCCCAGATATTCCAGCATTACATTCTTGTTTTTATGGCCACCATAGTATCTTGCTTTCCCACTTTCATTAATAACAAA